AAATGAAACCATACATTTTATATTTCCAAAATGCCTCATAACACAATGATATGCATTTCCCAAACGGTTTACACTAAAAATGTATCAATCATCAAATAATTACCATTTATACAATAATTCATCAAAGAATTTGCTTTTATGATCTATTTAACAAATCTCCAAAAACCTCAATATGGGTATTTCATAAGATTTATAAATCAAATGTACCAAGGATGTAAATCTCATCAAATAATCAAGACATTTGATAAATATCAAGAAAATATATTCAAGACTCTAAAATGGACATTTTTGGCATGTACATAGCTTTCACAAAACAACTTGAACTCACCTTGATAGGTTAAGTTAAACCTATATTCCAACCCAAACTCTTTAGTTTGCATTGATGAAGGTATGAGATCCACAAGAAAAAACCACCAAGGAAACTTCTCAAGATCACTTTTCATGGCTAGAAATAAACTAAATACGAACACAAACTTTAGATCCACAAAAATCCCCAAGATGGAGCTCAAAACACCCAAGAACTTACCTCATCATCGTGAAACCTCCCATCAAAGATCTTCAATCTCCAGGATTCTTCTCTATATTTGCTCCAAAAATCTTTCAACTCAATGCTTCCAAAATTACGCAAAATAGAGAGGAAACGAAGAGAGGGGAAGAAATTGGATAAAAATCCTAAAATTTGGCCTTAAAAGATGTTCTAGAGGATTCCCATGATTTTTCTCGTGATATAAAGATCACGTGGTAAGTCGCCTGCTTCCCTAAAGCTAAAATGCTGAAAAATGAGTTGCATAACTTTTCCCATGACCTAAGTAGCGGGAAAGGTAGAGAGATTTTTTGTTTCACTTTAAGTGCAACTTTTACTACAAGAATTCGCTCGTACCAAATTCTTTTATAACACGCTACATCCCACTCAAGGTATGACCTCCAAAAGGCTAAAAAAATACATAAATTTTTGCACGAAATTTTTAGCATTTTTCAGAGTGATCAACTTGTCTAGAAACGAGATGGATGCTAGAAAGTTTTACTTGTTATGGTATCTAGTTTTCAAGGTGGTGAGGCAAGATGGAAAATAATAGATATTCTCTGAAATTGATTTGTCTAATCTAGAGTTAGATGATCTGAGTTCCTATATCATAAGTTCAGACAAAGAACAATCAAGCCTCAAGATGTGATACTTGCACTGAATGATGTTAAGCGATTTATTGGAAGACAAGTCAAGTACTCCTACATTACTGACTTTCAGATTGGATGTGAAAGCAATCAGAAGAGAATAATTTACTCAAGACAGATCAGTGTCTTTCAGGTATTGAATATTTTCCAGTATGAATGATACTAGAAGTGCCTGAATTTAGGGTAATCTATCATAATGCCAATCTAAGAAATGTTTTCTTAGAGTTAGTGATGTGTCAAAATATTCAGATGGTACTTTAAAGCTGATAAGACATAAGTTGAACAAGAAGGTGGATGATGATAAGAGAGAAAAGAAGAAGATGAATGAAAGAGATAGAAATAATTAATATATAATGTATAAATAAAACTAACTGATAGATTTCAATTAATTTTCATTGGTATAAATTGATATTTATGAATAACTAATGTTTATGCATAATTAATTTTTATTTATAATTAGTAATTAATATTTATTTACACATACACACACACTCTAATGTTAACTTCGTTAATCCATCATATCCTTCAATTTTTTTGATCTACGATTGAAAAGACACAATGATATCCTTGTAATATAACAGAAACACATGTGCTATAGACTAGTGTGAACTTAGGTGAATAAGGGCATTCTTGGAAAATTAAAATAGCATCTATCATACCCAAAGTTCAGTCCGAATGATTTCTCCCTTGGTGTTTCATAACCGAAATTATATCATCTCTTTCAAGTTTGTCAATTAATCTGTTCATAATCTCAATCGTGTGTTCATAATGAAACTAATATGTTCATAAGAAAATTAATGTGTTCATAAGTGGAGAATAATAGCATAATTATATGTTCATAGGTGAAACAGTAAATGTGTTCATAAATGAAAAAGAAAAATATTGAAACAGTAACTTTGTTCATAGGTGAAACACTGAATGTGTTCATAAATAAATGATGTTCCTGAAATCCAATAAGTTATCAAACATGTTCATAAGTTGCAGCACAAACTTTCATATTTAATGGACCGTTATATCACAAAAATATAGCTGAAATCATGAAATTTTGTAACCTCCATTTAAATGCCTTAGAGTAATACAAGAAAATAAAATAAAATTACTGAACCGTCATGGACAATAAATATAAATTGATGTATGAACCATGACATTAGATGGATACCTATTAGTCCACAGAGAGTTAATATAGTTAACACAAATAAATTGGTTAACAAAAAATCTTACCTATATATATATATATATATATATATATATATAGGGGTCCATTCAAGGAAGAGCTGACTAGTTTGTGGTAATGTTAGATTCAATCTCAACCACAAATCAATAGATAAATTAGAAATTTTATAATTTTGGTAATTTTGAATTAAAATTTTAATGCAAGTACATTTTAGGTATTTTCTCTCCTCTCTTCTCTCTTCTCTCTCCTCTCTCCGTCCTCCGGCCTCCGGCCACCGTCCTCCGGTGATAACACTGTGATACCTAAAAATATTGACTTTGTTAAACAAAAGATAAAGTATGATACTCAAACATATATAAGATGCATTGTGAAACCACTGTGTTACATCTCCGATCGACCACACAAACGAACTCAATGTGATACCCAAGCACATATATGATGCATTGTGATACCATTGTGATATCACGGGATGACGGTGGCTGGAGAGAGAAGAGAGGAGAGAGGAGAGAAAATACCAAAAATGTACTTGCATTAAAATTTTAATTCAAAATTATCAAAATTATAAATTTCCTAATTTATCTATTGATTTGTGGTTGTGATTGGATCTCACGGTTACTACAAACTAATTAATTCTCATTTGATTAGGCTTATATATATATATATATATATATATAGAGAGAGAGAGAGAGAGAGAGAGAGAGAGGAGCGATCAAATGAAAACCGCCCCCATTTGTGTAAACCATGTAAACCAATCTTATTCATCCATTTTTCTTGATCACTGGTCAAGATTAGTTTAGTTTATTTTAGGAAATTAGAAAAAATATATTAAAATTTTTATTTTATAATGACGAGAAGGGCAAAATGGTAAACCCAACCACATATTCATCATGCACCATATTCATCATGCACCCTATTATAGTAAATTCCTTATCCTATTCATCATGCACCATGTTTCACTTGTCCAATGAGATTGTTCACGCACCCATATCATCATGCACCCATTTTATATTGTATCCATTCATCATGCACCCATTTCATCATCATTTTCACTTACTCCATTCACTAATTTCACTATGTATGAAACCGGTTTCATCATGCACCCATTTCATAATCATTTTTTCACTTACTCCATGCACCAATTTCACCATGTATGAAACTGGTTTTATGAATATATATATTTTTTTCTATTACTGATTTCATTGATTTATTAATCTAATAACTTACGATTTTCATGAATCTTGGCAATAATAAACCGAGACACAATATAACAAAATCCAATTTTTAATATTATAATTTAACTAAGTATTTAAATGTTATCATTTATAAAATTTTCCTTATTATGTTATCTTAATTAAGACTATTAATAACTTCCATATTTAATAGAAAACAATGCAAATGACCAATATATCCTTAATAATTAAATTTAATTAGAAAAAAATGAAAATTTTCTATTGGTCGAAATTAGTTTACACGGTTTCTAAGAATTGCACAGTTTTCATTTGAACGTGTCTCTCTCTCTCTCTCTCTCTCTCTATATATATATATATATATATATATATTAAATATTAACCAATTTTATTGTGTTAACTTTGTTAACCAATCTTGGTCATTGATTCTTACAATAAACGTTTGTGATTAATCACATTAAAATTTTAATTTATTAAATTTACAATTTCACAAACATATGTAAACTAAATGGAAAAAGGTATTTATGTAAAATGTCATATGCTTTTGATACCATCAGTTACCAAAACAGTAAATATAGTTACCAAAGTGTCTTGAAGCATCTTGGAACAAGTATGAACACAACATGAACAATTATGAACACAATAAGAATAGATGTTACATGAAAGATAAGAAATAAAGAAATAGTTATGAACACAATATGAACAGCTCATTAACAATAGTTCCTTCATTATGAATACATTCAAGAGCCAGTCACTGTTGAAAAATGCAGTTAGTCTACATATGAACACAATATGAACAGCTTGTGAACAATAGTTCTTTCATTATGAATACAAATCGACATATACAAAATCTTTTCATCAGTTATGAACACATGTGAAACCTGTGTCAATTATATAACCATATGCAAGATGATGAACGACCCATTTGAACAGGTACGAACACATATGGTCTTATCGAGAACATATATGATCACAACATGAACGCATACGATTATACACATTTTGATGTTCACATAATTGGATATTCAATAATAAGTTAACAAAAATCATGAGATTTTATGATTTTGTAACTCCCAGTTAATAATATAATAGTTACATAAAAAAGGAAATTACATATTTACCCTTGTTATTTAATTCTAAGATGGATAGAAACCTATATATAAAATGAATTGTCATTGGTTAAAAATGATTAACAAAGTTTACACAATAAACTTGGTATATTTGAACTAGACATATTATGTTTGTCAAATCGACGGTCAACAGTAAGCACAAGGCAAGAATAGGATAGGGGGTTTTGATACCTTGCTTATTTAGCTTTGTAAACCTCGGAAGTTATTCCCACTTCCATACATACATATATATATATATATATACATATATATATATACATATATATACATATATATAATCAAATCGAAATCATATTCTTCGTATTATTACCACAATAACAACAATAATAAAAATGGGTATTCCATTTCCCTCAATGGGTTTCCTAACCAACTACATGACCAAAAGTATACATTTATTTGAGCTTCTTCTAATTTTATTTCATCAAAATTATATATAATTTTATGGAGGATTTTTTGCAGGTTTGCCCACAGCTCAGATGTTGAATCTGGTGTTGGGAACTCTCCACAGTAAATTCATGGAGAAAGAGATCAACGGCTTCGATGACTTCCATCTCGCCCTTCTCGACATGTTCAAGTAAGAATTCTAACACTTTCCATAACAATTTCCCCCTCATCCCGACACAACCGAAAAAATAGGGATCTTAAAGCTACATTCACTTTAATTTTAATTTGATGTGTGTTTTCCTAAGAGGCTGTTTGGCAGTTACTGAATGTTTTCCTAAGTGGTCAGAATGATTAAGAGGCTCTCATGATATAGTGCAAAATGAAATATAATTGTTTGATAATTGTTTACAATGAAATTAGGGCTCTTATATGGTTAAGGGAGGCCCAAGATACAAAATCATTCAATAGGGTTTTAGAACCATTAAGTGGCAGACTTTTTTTTGTCAAACAAGATTTACCTTTTAACGATTCAAAGATTGCATCTTAATGGAACTATTAAGAGGTAAACAAACAATCCCTAAGTTAACAAAAAGTGGTGATCGTCACGTACTGCTAATTAATGTCGTTGGCATCATAGGTTGTAAATTCGATACCGCTGGCTCTTTTTCGTTTTCTGGTGACAGTGAAAAGGAACACCATTCAACCACAAGGGTAGTGTCTGATTGGTTTGAACTTAACTTCAAAGGTCAAAAGTACCTGGAGGTCTCAGTTCAAATCCAAGGAGAAATAAAAATCCCCTTGTAGCCACGGAGATTCAAATACGGTGACTCCGGGCTATCTGCAAAGCAGGTGGTTGCCCTGAGATTAGTCGACTCGCATAACGAGTTGGATATCCAGGTTAATGAAGAAAAAAAAAGAACACCATTCAGTTGTTGCAAAAAACCAATTGTATATTTTAATCAAGTTGTATTTTTATAACTAATTTTTATTTATTTGATATTATGTTGATTATAAATTTGTGTCACACTTGGAACTTCTTCTGGATGTGCCTCTGCTTGCATCTTCCGAAAGGAACTTGAATACGATGTCCCTTTAAATGCAGCACCATCAACGCAGCGTTGCCCGGCAAACATTACGACGTTCCACCACAGACTAAAGTCGAGGTCACACGCTTTCTCTTCTAAATATGCGTATTCATCTAACCACGATATTGATAACGGGTTCTAGCCTCGGGTATTAGATATCCATCGTCCTAATCGGCACATCTGCAATGCAGGAATGTTTCGAGAAATGGGAAGGCGCGAAGGAGTCGGAAAGGAAGAAGGTGTTCATTGATTTCATGAAGGCAAGTGTAAGTCTAAGCATGTTTGATGACTCTACTTTCATTACTGGACTAGTGACGCCGCCGGCAGCCATGGCGGCAAAGAGGGCGTGTGAAAGCTTGCCGCAGTTGAATGCGATTAAAGTCATTCCAGATGTCATTTTTGTGCCATCAGCGACGATTTTGGCTCTCATATCCGCTAAGCTCTCCAAACGTATGTTCTTGCAAAATGTGGCGTCATGAACCCGCAACGAAAGGTTTATTGTTCGTATACAGGCACTGTTCGCGTATTTAAAATTGCAACAAATTTGTTTTTCAAGATAAAATTACTTATTGTAAAGAGAGAGAAGGTTCATATAAACAGATGAATGAAGGTCAATCTATGCCAGTTCAAATTAAGCAAAACCATTGCAAACCCATTTGATCTACTAAAAAGACATATACATATACCTCCAAAACTGGTATTCGAAAGAGAGACTACGCAAATCCATGTCTTCCAGCATGATATATCAAGTTATCAAACCTTTTTTATTCACAAAAAAAAAAAAAGAGGAAAAAGAAAAATAAGATGATGGGGGAAAACTGGTTAGGGGATGTACAAGATGATGTCAAAGCCTAACCTGAGGTTCTGCGGCTCCATAGGCTTGAACCACCCTTACGTCGTGCTCTAGCTGCTCTTTTTTTCTTGTTATTTGGGGCGGTTAATTTGGAAACAGATCGCAGTTTTGGAGCCGGTTGTTCATTCTGGCTAGAGTCTTCAGAAACTGAAATCGGACCTGCGTTGTCGGCTTTCTCCTTAGGTTGCTGGAGCTTCTCGATAGGATGGATCTTTACAGCCCCAGAATCCGTTTGAGGTTTCTTTGCCCTGCGGTTGTATATCAATATACCATCCGTACTCTGCATATACAAAAACATCGATCCGAATAAATGTTATTTGTTTACACTATTTACATCCATTTTTCAACAATGACTAGATAAACAAAATTTTGGATATAGTTTGATGAAAGTGTTTGACAATCGGTTAAATGCTTAAAATCGTGTAGACCCCCAACAAGTGTGTGTCTTTTTTAGGAGAATAACCTTCCATGACCCTCTCACAGATTTAAGAACGTCTAGCCTAACAGAAGAATGTCTCTAAATCTGTCAAAAAAAGGTCATGGATTTATTATAAAAAAAAAACTGTCACAAGGTTATTTGGTTTAATCGGTATTCAGGTTCGTTTCATTCTCCCCAACCTAATGGTTGCTGATTAAAGTTTTATGGGAGACATTATTGGACTATTTGACGGAAAAAAAAAATCTTGTGTACCAAAACAACGCCACTAATGGTTTGCAAAGACGTCGTTTGGATTTGGAACTTCACCAAAGAAAATATTGCATTTTTTTCTCAACAGGAGTAACAATTAACATATAGGATGGCGAGGGGTTGAAGTGCAAAAACACTCACTCTTTTTCTTGAAGCAACGGGAGGCTGTTCCATTTGTTCATTTATATCGTGAAGCTGAGTTTCCTCTCCATGACTCGAAGTTGCATTTTCAGGTTTGACCGAATCGTCACCCGTGTTATATTTCATTAACTCAGATGCAATCGCAGCAACTACAGATGGTCCATCTCTATTTCTCGGAGAACCAGATTCTCTAACGGAGCATGTCAATGCATTATTAGATTCAAGCAAGTTTAAGTCTTCAAACCTTCCTGTGTTTTCAGTCATTACAGTGTTGAGTCTGGTCTTCATTTCACAGACTTGTGACTGTGCAACTTCAATCTTCCAAAGCATTTGTTCCAAGAAATAATCATCTCTGAATTCAAGAGATAATAATTCATCCGGGACTCTGAACTCGTTATTGACATTCTTATCGGTGGAAGTAGCTGCCAAGGGAAAATGGTAAAAAAACAGGAACTTTTAGTCCACATACCCAACAAAACGTAATACAGATATACCAAGAATTCTGGTTTGAGTTCTGCTATAACATAGTAAATGAAACGAAACGAACCCAGTATATCCCATTTAGAGGTGGGGCTTGAGGAGCATAAGATGTAAGCAGACCTGACCTCTACCCAAAAGTGTAGAGTGGCTATTTCCATGAAGACCCAACTTGTGAAAAGTGTGACAAAGAGTCTCATAAATGATAAAGATTTGAAAGGCTGACAAGGAACACAATTGAAAGTACTAAACTAACTCCATTTAGTTCTAGTTTTATTAACTAGACTGACTAAGAAAAACAAAATATTTACTGATCATTTACAAATATAAAACACACATTTGCAACTTGTAGTACTTCAGAAAAATATAAGTTAAGTTAGCTAATAGAACATAGAACAACCATTTGTCTGAATGTAAGGCTGCACATCATAAGGACTCTACAGTAGTTCCAATACATGAGTCTCTCCTTCCTTTTATCTCCCAGAGTGACCAAAAGGTAAAAACCCATCCCAGTCAATTAAAAAACCCAAACCTTAAAATCCATTAGAACCGGTGATTTCATGGTTGGACCATTTATTTGCTCACCCTTTGACCTATTATTCGTAGAAGTTATCTATAAATGTCACCTACCCCTTTTTTTGACATATTCTTTATAACTTAAGTTCTCTTATGTTGCGTTTGGAAGTTATTTGCATAACCTTTTCTATAATCTTGTTAAGTTCTCCAAATTGCTTTGTTAATTGAGTATTTGATTAAATATATACGTCATCATTATTAGAAAGAGTATTTTATTACATAATCTTGACATGATGGACTAATAATGATTTGATCATGGTTGACCCAATGACGATCTCATTCGTTAACTTCTCCTAGTAAATGAGCGAATGGGGTTTTCACTAACATTGCTATAAAAAATTGTTTCCCCAACAGCAATATATGGTTTCATGCACTCAGATATAATGTAGAGAGCAAAATTCTTGGTTACCTAGATTAGTTTGATCATCATCCATTGTTCCACCACCATTACCAATGGTAGACCTGCAAGTAGCTGCCCATGAAAGATATCAATCTCATAACAGCCATGCAATGTACGACATGGCTGGCTTTTAAAATGAGACACGGAAAATAAAAGAAAAACCAGAGAGGTATGTACCAAAATACGAGAATAAATTATGCTGTGCCATGTATACTTCTGTGTCAGACTCTTCATGTCTTTTCCTTTTCTTCCTCTTCATAGGTTTCTCTCTTTGAGAATTATGAGAAAATGGCATCGACTTTGCACAAAGACCTTCCAACTCAAAGTTCCCATGCTTTACCGGTTCAGTTTGATAATGTTTTTTGAGTTGTTTGTCATACTTGATGGCCTGAGACTGGAATTTTTTGATCTGCAGTTCAACCCATTTACAACGCCACATAATAGGTTGTATAAACTTCCTCCAATGAGATGTCAACCTTTTCTTCCTGAAAATTCACCATCAAAACGTGCCACAAAATAATCAATCCAAGTTAGCATGACTGAGATGCTAGAGAAACAATAAGAATATACTTTAAAGTTGGATATTTGGGCAAAAATATTGATATTATTATCAAAGAAAAAGAAAAGATTTCATGGGACTAACACAAGCAAAACTTGCCATGGCCATGTCTACAATTAATATCTGTTAAGGGCAGTCTAGCAATTTTTGGCATTCGTTTTCAAGCTGAGGGGACAGTGAACTGTCTTCTGCTTAATATGGTTTAGTGGTTCAAGTGGCCCAACACACACCCATCAACGTAAGATCAGTGGGGATAAATTATATGAGAGAAATTATGTGATGAAAACACAACAGTGAAACTTAAATGGAAAAAAGTAGTAACTAAAACATGCAAATTTAGACAGCACAGCCACGTCATAGCGATAAGAACCCAGATGCAAACATAACAGCATAAGAAGGGAAGAGAGAGTACCCACATAATTGAATTACAATTACTATCTACCTTTCAAGAGGCTAGTCTCTCCAAAATGGTAGCTGCAAACATTCTTTTTCCCCTTCTTTCCCTGTCCTCACATCTATTTATCCCCAGATGCTCAAAATTCCCTTGCTACCCTTTTCCTAACAGACCCTGACTGAAAAATTATTCCTCGCCTCCCATGGTCCCTTCCTCGCCATTCATGTTTTGTGCTTTCTCTTGGTGTAAGTGAAACAACAGGTTGGTGTATAACATTACCCCACCCCCGAATGAGCACCTTGTCCTCAAGGTAAAAGTTGGGGAACGCATGTTGCATGGTGACCAAGTCTTCTATGGCTTATTCCCCAACCCCGAAGTGGAGGGCCCTGCGGGATTTGTCTGCTATGGATTTCATTTGTTGCTGAGCATGCAACAGGCTTGCCTTAAGCTTATCCAATATCATATCCCTTTCTAACAACTCGTCTTCGATAAAGGAGACGCCTGTACTACTGGCCTGAAGGCGATGTAAGCGCAACGGGTCCTGACCATATAAGGCATTAAAAGGTGTATATTTGGATGAAGAATGGTACAAAATGTTGTACCAGAACTCTGCCCAAGACAGCCATTGCGCCCACTTGCGAGAATTGCCATGTCGGAAGCTTCTTAAATATGTTTCTGTATCTGTAGACGACTTCTGATTGACCACCGGTAGGTGGCATTGCGCAACAAGGTAGTACCCCGGAGTCGGAATAATTCATGCCAAAGGAATACACATGACGATTTTATAATCAATCCGAAATGATAGTTGAAGGGAATCTGTGGAATTAGGTATTGGTCAAGAATAGTAACCTTATTTAAGTCTTGGTAGTCAACTCAGAACCTTCACGAATCATCTTTTTTTAAACAGAAGAACCAGGCTGCATGGTTGCATCATGTCTTGGATGAGCTTCTCGATCTCTCTTTTCTATGCATATGAGTGTGCGCTAACAGGGTCAGCCCCAGCACCATCTATCAGGTTAATAGCAAGCTCTTTACCTCTTCATGGTGGTAAACCCATTTGGTCACTCGAAAACCCACTAATAGGTGCCAATAACGTTCTATAGAAACAAAAGATAAACGACTGTGATGTGGAATTGTTTTGGTTCCGCTGTAGCAAATATCCCCCACCTTCTTTGACGATGAAACGTAGCATATTATTTAGGGTCACTAGGATCGATCTAAAGAAAGGTCCCCACAGAGAGTCATGGGTACCCCATTAACAAGAAATTTCATTGCCTGTCTTCCAATTTGTGGTCAACGCCTCCAACTCCTCTAACCATAGGATGCCAAGAATGATGTCCGAATTTCCTAAGCTAAGAGGGAGGAAATCCTCTAACACCTCAATTCCTTCAAGATGCAACAAGACCCCTTAACCATACACCAGCCTCCAAATCCGCCTGTTTTTTTATGACCGGGATACCCAATCTCTGGACCACTAGCAATGAGATGAAGTTATGGGTTGTTTTGTGTAACCTTAACCACTACCTCGAAGCCTATGAGCAACATCTATGCTATAATTTTTCTAAATAGAGTATCAACAATCAAAATCTCTAAAAAGAATTACATCCAACTCCAGCAGCTACTCTATTCTAGCAATTCTACATTAACTATCTTATTAAAATATTCTATATATTTAATAAAATATTATTTCTACTAAACATATATTTTCAATAACTTTTATTGGTAGGAAAGAATTAAAATAATATTTCTCTCATATATATAGTTTGAGATTTCTCTAAATTTAGAGATCTTCATATTCTCTCTCTTCTTTTTTTCTATTTTACCATACAATATAGCATAGCTATTGGAGCATAAAACTCTACTAAATCAACAAAATTCTATTATAACACAGTTGTTGGAGATGCTAATAAGCTTCCCAACACTTCAATGTTTCTAGGTTAGTAACACCCAACACCAAATTTAAGCAGATTTAAGGTTGGCCATCCTCTACGGTCTCTTCTTCCGGCGACTCTTTATATTAACATGCCACATCCTCTTAGTGGGTAAGCAGTACAGTGGGCTCCCAAAGACAACAATGGTAACCAATGTTCCACCTTTCATCGCAAAGAAAACATAGTCGCTCCCTTTCATGTTGTAGCTCTATATCTGAGAGGTGATGTATCTCTCAACTAGCTTACCAGTAGGTTTCAGACCTACTAGGGCAGTAGATAATAAGGTAAATGCTAATCGTAATATCAAAGTCAATTGTGATGAATTTTGGGTTGGGTTTAGCAGATTGATGGGGATATAAAGTAGGTTGGGATCTAGCGTATCGATTACCCACTCCAAAAGAAGATGTGTAACAACATCCCTCTAATTTCCTATTTGAGGTTATCCTTATCTTCTCCAATTTGGTGGTTAACTCCATTGCATGGTCCAAACTGCAAGGTCCAACCACTCTAACCTTGGGCCGAATTTCCCCTTTAGCCCATTGATAAAAGGGCCCGACGCCATTTTATGTAAAACATTAATCAAAGGGGCTGGCATTTTGATGAAACTTCGTTCATAATCCACAATCGATCCCACCTAATTTAAAAAACAATTGTTGTTTGTGAAGAGATCCCAATTGAGATGGGTGAAACTAATGGGGCAGCAACGAGTTATGTCCCCACCACCTTTGCACTGAACATTTGTGATGTCCATACTGGTACCACAACAGAGCATCTCATTCGAGGCTACCACTGCTCGCTTCAAGTTTGTTCCGCATGTAAAAATTGAAGTAACGCTATGCCTGAGAATCCAACCATCGGGATTAGCTCCACCAAATATGGGCAAAGTCCATTTTTAGGAATCGCCAGAAGAGTCCTCCCCTTGTATTTGCCGACCCTCTTGACCCGATTCCTGTATTGGTTAGGTTACCAGCAAGTTATGGATCAACAAAAAGAGTTGTTGGACTCCAATTGTGAAGCACGAACTTCAACTCAAATGGTTGAGCAAAACTACGATTCTTTGTAGCCATCTTAGATAACTCTTTGGGATACAATCCCAAGTGCCATTATCGCTTAGGACATCGAGGTTGTGATACCACTTTGATAACAACCGGAACTTTGTGAACACAACAACAAAAGAATAGCATATAGAGTAACTTAATAGACTGTTGGCGATATGGTTGGAACTTGAGGTAACTTAATCCCCAACCTCGAATTTGAGGGCCCTGGGGGATTTGCCTGCTGTGGCTTTCATTTGTTGCTAAGCATGCAACAGGCGAGCCTTAAGCTCATCCAATATCATACCCCTCTCTAACAACTGGTCTTCGATAGAGGAGACGCCGGAGGAAATGTAAGCACAGAGGGTCCTGACCATATAAGGCTTTAAAAGGTGTACATTTGGATGAAGAATGGTACGAAATGTTGTGCGAAAACTCTTCCAATTGCACCTAATTGTGAGGATTGCCAAGTATGAAGCATCTTAAATATGTTTTTGTATATGTTGACGACTTCCGGTTGACCACTGGTTTGTGGAAGGTAGACGGGGTTGTGCAACAAGGTAGTACCCCAGAGTCGGAATAACTTGCATCATGTCTTGGATGAGCTTCTAGATCTCTCTTTTCTATGCATATGGGTGTGCACTAACCGATCAGCCCAACCCATCTTTCAGATTGATAGCAAACTTTACCTCTTTGTGGTGGTAAACCCATTTGGCCACTCGAAAACCCATTAATAGGTGTCAATAACATTCTAAAGAAACAAAAGACACACGATTGTGATGCGGGATTCGTTTTAGTTCGACTGTAGCAAATATCCCCCCTTCTTTAATGATGGGGCATAGCATATTCTTTAGGGTCACTGGGATCGATTTAAAGAAAGGTCCCCTTGAAGAGTCACGACTACCCCATTAACAAGAAATTTCATTACCTTGTGTCTTCCAATTCGTGGTCAACTCCCTAATTTTTCTAACCATAAAATGCCAAGAATGACTTTCGAAGTTCCTAAGCTAAGAGGGAGGAAATCCTCTAACACCTCAATTATTGAAGATGCAAGAGGACCCCTTGACATACCCCTTCACCAGCCTCCAAATCCGCTTGTTTTTTGTGACCAGAATACCCAATCTCCGAACACTAGCAATGAGATGAAGTTGTAGGTTGTTCTGGGTCAACCATGACCACTACCTCGGGCCTTAATAAGCCTCCCAACATTTCAACGTTTTTGGGTTAGTAACACCTAATACGAAATTTCAACAGATTTAAGGTTGCCTGTCCTTTATGGTCTCTTCTTCCGGCTACTCTTTGTATTCGCATGCCTCATCCTCTTCTTGAGTAAGCAATACAGTTGGCTCCCAATGACAACAATGGTAACCAATGTTCCGCCTTTCATCATAAAGAAAACAATTTCTTCTTTTTGTATTGTAGCTCTTTGTGAGAGACAACATATCTCTCAACTGGCGGTAGGTTCTGGAACTACTCGGGCAGTAGATAATAAGGTAGATGTCAATCATGATATCATAGTCGATTGTGATAAAATCTGGGTTGGGTTTTAGAGGATTGGTGGGGATATAGTGTAGGTTAAGCTCTAGAGTATTGATTACTCACTCCAAAAGAAGACGAGTAACAACGTCCCTCTAATTTCCTATTTCAGGTTATCCTTATCTTCCCCTCCAAATTGGTGGCTAACTCCACATGGTCTAAACTGTAAGGTCCAATCACTCTCACATCAACCCAAATTTCCCCCAGCCCGTTGATAAAATGGCCCAACGGCATTTCTTCTAATACATTAATGAAAGGGGTCGGCAGTTAGATGAAACTTCTAATCCACAACCAATCCCACCTTATATAAAGACAATTGTTGTTCATGTAGAGATCTCAATTGAGAAGGGCGAAACCAGTAGAGCAACAATGATTTCAATTCCTCCCACCGTTTTACTGGACATTTGAGATGTCCATATTGGTACCTCAAGAGAGTGTCTCATTCGAGGGCTACCATCGCCGCTTTGAGTGTCTTCTTTCCCTAGCATGTAAAAATTGATGTAATGCTCTGTCTTGAGATCCAACCATCAAGATTAGCTCCATCAAATATAGGCATGTCCAATTTTAGAAATCGCCAGTAGAGCCCTCCTCTTGTATTCACCAACCCTCTTCACCCGATTGGGTTACTAACAAGTCATAGATCAACGAAAGATTTGTTGGACTCCAATAGCAAAGCACGAAGTTCATCTCGAAAGATTGAGCAAAACTAACAGTTCTTTGTAGCCATCTTTGTAGCCTTTTGGGATATCAGGGTAATCTGATTGTTGAATTGTTGTTGCAAGGAATGTTATAAATCAATCAAAGTGGTTCTAACCCCGATTACACTTCCTCTATCACTTACAATCTTTGGGATACAATTCCTGGTGCCATTATTGCTCAGAATGTTGAGGCTATTATACTAGTTTGATAAAAACAAAAAAATTGTGAACACAACAACAAAAGAAGGGAAGATAGAGTACCCACAGTGATTGAATTAGACATGCTATTTAGCTTTTGAGAGACTAGTCTCTGCAAAACTGAAATGGTAGTTGTAAACAATTTTTCTCCCCTTCTTTCCCCCCTCCTCACATCTCTTTTTATCCCTAGACCCTCATAACCAATTATTAATAAAATTCCTTTGCTACCTTTTCCCTAACAGACCCTAACCAAAAAATTATTCTCCACCTCCTGTGGTACCTTTCTTTCTTACTCCTACGTGGTGCATAACATATACATTCTCCAAAAAAGACTCCAACAACAACAATGTAACATCATTGCTTACATAGTAATTACAAGCTAATTTACGAACCAAAAGATAATCAATGTTGCACATGCTAAAAAAATTATCTCATTTGTCTCAACGAATCAATGATTTAGATAGGACAGTGTTAGAACCATATCATCCCCATTACTCAAGATTAACAGGTCCATGAACATTCATGCTATTTCATGATAATGTCTCATCCTAAGTTTTAGAGAGTACAACCATCAAAGAAGACAACCCCGAAAGAAATGAGGAAAATAAGACGACATAAAATCTTTATACCGTTTTCACCTTTAAATATGAGCAAATTAAGGCCATCATTTCTAGATATAAACCACCTTGCTAATATAAAATATTAGCTTCATTCCACAAAATACAAGACATTTATCCATGTAACTACACTGAAGATAGCCCATACTTTGCTATAAAATAATTATCTTCCAATTTGGAATAACAAGAACATTTGTTTCAACAAAAAATAATTTTGGGGGTGCTTTTAATCTTATCTAGCAGAAATTTTCCTATTAAGTAGAACATAATATGAATGTAGTTCTAAACAGATGACTAAATATTGTGTTATACAGTAATAGTTTTTTATGATTGCCATTCCTTAAAATATTTATGGGCTACTAGAGCCTAAAATACATACATTTCGACCACTAATTCAGCTAAAAGATTTTTTTATTGGGTTTAATTGCTTTGTCCTTTCACCCTAACTAGTTTAAGACATAAGCCTTGTGGATGGTCTTGTGCGTATCTAAATGACAGTGACACCTTGCATTCTGACCAAAAAATAAAAGATATAAAGCTAGACGCATCCTTTCAACTCTTTTGATGATCCTCCATCGAAATGAGGACCCAACCATCACATGGCTTTAAAAATATATGCTATCAAACTCACGAAGCCTTCCTATTCTACCAAAAGCCACTATGAATATTTATAAACGATAGCAAAAATTACTAGTATTGCTTCCTCCAATGCCCCCATTATCTTCTAATATAAATGTTTTTTTATCATAAACCATGCAATCTCAAGACAGTCAAATGACAAAAGTGTGGCACTTCATGAAAAAATATATATGCACAAATTCACAATGCTTATGTGTGACAATTGAGAAATCCACTGGTGTAACAATTTCCATACACCTTGTCAGTGTGCAAACAAAAGCTTGTAGTCCATCTCATTCTAAACAAAAACCCGGAGGTGTAACCGTGTAAGTGGTAAAGTTGTTGCCATCAAAATGCATTACAGTCTAACAAACATACATATTCATTTGCACCCATCTCTTCTCAATATATTCAATATTTACCTAAAACACAACAGATCTAAGTCCACACTTTGAATTAGTACTTAAGGTAAGATTAGCACCCAATAGATAATGGACAATACAGAGATCTATGCATCCAATGCAGAAAAGGATGAAGAGTCGAAAATAGAATCCATGTGATTTAGCAACTCAGATTGGATGCCTGTTGTCCATGTTTCTGAGCCAGGACTACTATCAATGGAGGAGGGAAGACCTAATGACATTCACTTAACCAACTAACACCTATGCCTGAGAAAAAAAAGGTATAGATGAGGTTTAGGGCAATAGAACATATTAGAACACCAATTTTTCCTCCTATACAAAAAACCAGTTTTGATTCCTAAAACATTCTAAGCTGCATGTGAATCTTGCCTACAAGGTCTAAATAACTAATTTTGACCATGCCATCAAGAGGAGTCCTTCTTGAGGTTGGGTTTTCCACTTCCATAAAGTAGGTTAAAGTAGACTGAGATAGAGAGGATCAAAGCAGTCATGTGAAGATAAGACACAAAATAAATACGTCCCGGATACATTTTATAGGGAAATTTTTTTGTTTTTTCAATGGAAGTTCTAAAACAAATTATTCAAAGCTAGCATAATACCCCGAAATGGTTAAAATGAAACACATAGGTTTAAGTCATATACTTAAAGATGTCTTATTTCACAGAGCCTGGGCTAAACAATTATGCCTAAAGGTTTAAATTCCTGATTAGTGAATACTGACTAGAAAGCAAAACAAAGTAGTAAACTTCTCGATCAATAACGAGACTGAAGAGACATTACCTCGGTGGAAACAAGTCACCTGATCCACCAAATCCTCGTGTTGGTGCAGCATCCACACGTAATCCTGACATAACCTCATCATCACTTCCATATTCACGACTCCCAACCTCAGAGAATGTGTCCCCAAAGGAACTTGAAGAGCCAGTAGCATCCTCAGACTGAGGTTGAACCGAAGTACCCTCATCATCATTAGTCATACAGTTTATTATGTCAACCTCAACCTCAACCTCAACCTCTTCTTTTTTACATATTTCCAGGTCTTGCTCACCTAATGCGGTTCTCATATCAAACTTGCCCTCATGATTACCTTCAGATCTCATGTTTTTATCTTTTGGCATTTGCACAACAGCAATATGCTCTTCACTAGCTGAAGCTTCCATTGTGGTTTCCTTTCTTCCTTTAAGGTCCAGAACAGGACCCATGCTATGATATTACACAACTGAGATCATTCTTATTTTAGGAAGGTATCCCTAACAATAAGTAAAGAAGAGTAAGCTCAGTTGAGTTAAGTCCGACGGTCATGGAGTATCTAGATTATTCACCTGCAGCAAAAAAACACACATCATGAAATGGTGGAAATAGGACACTGGATAACAAACACAGAAAAGTTATACACAAATATGAGTACAACTCTTGATAAGATTCCAAATTAGCACCAATACGTTGTGGTATACATTCCATATTTCCATCCACTCAAAAAGGTAGATAATTTTCTGAAGCCGGACCCTGTCTGGAACAACATAGGATAACAATGTTTGCAATATACATAACCTCTATCAAGTAGATACCAATGGCAGCCTCTGTTTCATCGTTGTGGCAGTCAAGCACACAACCGCAGTGGAACATGCAACACTATTTCTTTGGGAATCAAACATGTTAATTCCAACTTTAAAATTGATAAGGGATTCTAAATTGTAAACTACAGAAGATTAAAAAACTGCATTACACTTTATACAAGTACTCAAATAAAAAAATGTATCCAGACAAATAGCAACAAATCTGTGAAATTTTACCCATTTCATTACAAGGTTTCCCCCTCAAATATCAAAGTGTGTTCTTATTTAAACAGAAGAAATACAATACATCTTACAACGTCTATTAAAATGGTAAAAGAAAAACACCATAAAGTTAATTACAATGCCACGTATCACAAAACCCAATTTCTAAGAAAACTAGGGTTTCAAATTAACCAAACCATTTCCCAAAATTAGGGTTTTAAAATGTCAACAATCAAGATTTTGACGGGTTACCCTGTAAACAAACATTAGAATCAAATTCATATAATCAATCAAACATCATACAAACTTACTGATCATTTGAAACTTAAGGAGTCCAAATCTAATCAATTTTCTTGAAATTACGATGGAAACAAAAAGAGAGAGCTTTCCTCCGACTGTACTTACTTGGTCTCCGGCTGAGTAGAGGGCGGAGAAAGGCTAGTAAAGGGTGGAGTCCAGTCTTCTTGTGGTGACAGTGAAATCGGAGGAGAGTATGGAGAAGTTTGAAGATTTCAGATTCATGGAAAGATAAAAAAGAAATCACAAATTCCGTCAAGAAAATCGTTGACTGGAATTTGAAGGGGGAGAGAGTGTGGAAATATTCTAAGCGGCAAATTGGATTTCTTTATCTATTTTCGTGGTAATTGTTCCTCTATTGGAAATAAAAGTTTGATTTGTCGCCTAATTTACCAACAAAATATTTAATTCATAATTACATTTAAAATATTCACTTTTATTTGTTTTAAAAATGGAAATTATTTTTTTATGAATAGATTTCTTCCCAAAATTACATATATCAATTACTATTATAAGACATTATTGTGATTCATACATTTTTCTAGTTTTATTTTGATGAAAATAATGAAAATACAGTTGATTATTCTCGGGAAAAGAAAAAATAGACATATTGATCGAAGAAAAGTATCACTCAGGAAATGTCACAATAACTAGCAAATCATGCAAATATACATAGCTCATTAATGGTAAGTGTTTACCAAATATTGTCCCGTGAGGACAATGAATCAAAAGGTAAGAGAAAACAATCTCAAAATAGGATTTCAGATGGTGAATTTGAAGCAATTGTTTTTGTGAGATTTTTAACAACTAAAAGAGATATAACACTAATAAAAGAAAGCATGAGTGAAAGATGTGGTTGAGATTTCTGCGCAAGTGCAATAGAACCTTGCTACAGCATAACATGAGGTTATTGCAACTATAGTTTTTAACAGCACACTATTGGATTGAATGACCTTCTTTCGAAATGCAGTCAAATACTCACTGGCGGTACCTTTATCGTATCAATAATAAGTACAAATCCAAGCATGGTACTGGACTTATCTTTCTTTGCATATAGGTATGACTGTATCGGTTGATGCATCAAATTGCAGTATTCTACAACTCCTTACTTCTCTTTGTTTACATTTCCTTCTCTATAAGCTCAATTCATCTTAACAAAATAATGTGTTAATTTGTCAAAACTCATTTAAATGAAATAATATGTGTCAATGTAGGAGTATTATCCACCAAAACTGCTTATTTAATCTTTTTAGATCATTATATTGGGAAAGTGATAATTTTCAACTTATGAAACTGTTTTCAATTTTTTATAAAAAGATTGGCATGTGAATACAACAAATATATTCATTATGATGAATGTACATTATATATGAGACTTTTTTACGTTCATCTCACTAGGAATTTCATTCAATCATTAATAGCTTGAAAATCATATCTATGAATGTTAAGATAGAATAACAGATATTCTATAAAATTTGTGCAGTGTAGAAAAGATAAAGTAACACATGCTTCAATATAAGCTCAAATTGATAAAAGTGTGGACTACACAAATTTATCATACTCGATTATGATCAAAGAGACTTGAATGGAGGGACATATATCCTTCTTTTTCAATATCAATATTCTCCAAATGAGAAACCAATAGATTATGAGTTGCGTAACCCAAGTGTTAATAAAACACTTATGTTTTGAGAGATAAATAAGTAGTTGCTAGGATTTTAAACAAGAGTTAGCATGGGCTTTGCCTTTTTCAATATTAGTCTTAAAAGAATTGAGAACTAAATAGATTGTGAGGTTTGCCCGTATTATAGTCGATGGATCATGATTTTGATGTTCTTTTAATCCTAGACACAACTCTCATTTTAATTATTTTAAGCTCACTTCAACTACCCCTCTCATTTATATTTTCAGCTCAGCACACATACCCATGTTCATTTAAGCTCACTAAGTATGGTTGTCCTCTTGGGTAGGGCTATCGGTTATAATAGTCCATAAATGTTTATCTGATAAGCACTCAGTCCCGTCTAAGAATTTTGCATGTAAGCTCAATGAAATAATGTATACAAGTATTTAACTGTGAATTAGCCACTTTCAAAGTTAGAAAGTTCAGAGTGAGGAACTTAGACCAAAGTCTTGAAAATCCAACCTCTTGAAATCATGAAAACGTTTTGAATTTTTGAGGTGGTTTGAACATTTAAAACAAATTTTATCACCATGAAAGTTGTTCATCTTTCATGTGATTTAAGGATCAAAGTAATTCTGAAATTACTTATTCAGACTTGAGAAATCCATAATTGTCTTAAAATTAAGTTTAAGCATCATCCAGATTTTTGAAATTCAGAGATGAAGAATGATGAACTTTATCAAGTTATTTGCTCCCCCTTGACAGTAGACAGGTTGTTCATTTCAAGATTAGTTTACTTAAAGGAATATTTATGTGTATGTCTTAGATTAGAAGTAAATTTGAAGTTCACTTTCTCAAACTTGTGGATAACTCTGAATATTTCATATTCAGAGATCTGGAAAGTATAGGTACTTAGCTAAAAGCAACATTTTTAGAAGTCTGAATTTCCAAATTCTAGAGTTTTAGTATATCTCTGAAATGTTTCACTTCAGACTTTTTAACTTAGCATGAATTCAACTCTCAGAGGTTTGAACCAAACCTTTACAGAGTTATAGAATAATTCTGAAAAACAACAGTTAAGAATTCTAAGTTGTACAAATTTTAGCTAAGGGAAGTCTGAACAAAGGTACTTCAGAGTTTTAAGAATAATTTTGAATTACAGTAGTTAAGAGTTCTACAACTAAGAATTCCAAGTGTTAGAAGTCTGAACTAGGGAATTTCAGAATTTGAAAGACAAATCTAAAATGCGATAGAAAAGGGTTCAGAATCTAGGGATTCTAAGGTAGAAGTCTGGACGAGAGTATTTCGAAGTTCTGGAATGTGAATGTTTAGAGTTTTGAATCTAGGAATTATAAGTATCAGAAGTCTGAACTAGGGAATTTCATAGTTTGAAAGAAATCTGAAATGCGAAAGTTGAAAATTCTGAACCTAAGGATTCTAAGTTGTATTTGCTTAGTCTGAAAGGTTTATTAACTCGGATTTAACATTCCCAACTTGCTTACTAGAAAACTGAATCTCTTCTCATCAAGTGCCTTAGTGAAAAGGTCAGCAAGTTGTAAGTCTGTATTGACAACATACATTTCAATGTTTTCTTTTTCAACATGATCTTTAATGAAATGGTACCTTATGCCTATGTGCTTAGTCTTAGAGTGTTGCACATGATTAGCAGTGGTGGCTATGGCACTTCTTGAGTCACAATACATTGGAATTTTGTGTACTCATAGTCTTTGAGTTGTGTTTTCATCTATAGAACTTGTGAGCAATAGCTTGCAGCAGCCACATATTCAGCCTCTGTAGTGGATGTTGAGACACAATTCTGCTTCTTAGATGTCCAACTCACCAGTTTGTCACCCAAAAACTGGCACGAGCCTAAAGTACTTTTTTTGTGTTAGCCTATAGCCACCATAATCTGCATCTGTGAAACTAGTTAGATCGAACCCAGAATCTTTGGGATACCAAAGTCCCAATGTAGGTGTGCCTTTTAGGTATTTTAAGATTCTCTTAACATCCATGAGGTGGGGTTCTTTTGGATTGACTTGATATCTTGCACAGAAGCAAGTGGCAAACATTATATCAGGTCTACTTGTAGTGAGATATATTGAAGATCCAATCATTCCTGTGTACAATTTTTGATCTACGGACTTTCCACTTAAGTCTGTAGCACAATCAGACATATTGAATTTCTTTAAGATTTCATTTACATACTTAGTCTGACTAATGAATATTCCTGTGGGTGATTGTTTAATTTGAAGTCCTAAGAAAAATTTTAAATCACTCGTTATACTCATCTCAAACTTAACCTGCATTATGTCTGTAAGTTTCTACAAAACTTAGGATTAGTACACCCAAAAATAATATCAGCCACATAGATTTGTATTAAGATTAAATCATCACCTTGTTTCTTTATAAATAAAGTAGTATCAATTGAACTCTTTTTGAAACCAGATTTGAGAAGGAATTCAGACAGAGTTTCATACCAAGCTCCGGGAGCTTGCTTAAGTCCATACAAGGCTTTATCCAGACATAGATATGATTTGGGTGCTTAGGATCCTCAAAGCCCTCTAGTTGGTGTTCATACACTTCTTCATTTAAAACTCCAATTAAGAATGCACTTTTGACATCCATTTGGTAAACTTTGAAGTTTTTATCTATAGCAAAGGCTAAGAAGATTCTAATAGCCTTTATCCTTGCCACAGGGGCAAAGGTTTCATCAAAATCTATGCCTTCTTGTTAGAAATAGCCTTTACCTACTAGCCTTGCCTTGTATTTAATTACAACTCCATTTTCATCCTTTTTTATTTGTGAAAACCCGTTTGGTGCCAATTATAGATTTACCCTTTGGCCTTGGGATGAGTCTCCAGACTTGGTTTCTTTCAAATTGGTTAAGCTCATCTTGCATAGCAAGAACCCAATCAGGGTCTTATAATGTCTCAGATGCCTTTTTTAGGTTCAATTGTACTAAGGAAATTGATAAACAAACACTCATTAGTTGTGGCCGATCTTATTTGTACTCCTTCAGACACTTCTCCAATCACTTGATGTAGAGGGTGATCTTTGGTCTATATGTGTGAATCGGGAAGGGAATGAGTTGTTTCTTGTTTGTTCTAGCAGTCATTCTCATCAATTATTGCAGGACTTTCTCTACTTTGTTGCTCCCCCTCAACTGCAGGTATATTTGAAGATTGTAACTCTGAACAGGTTGGTTCAGAGTTAGGCGTAGGGGTTTCAGAGATAGATGAATTTAGCTCATTTGAGGAAGACTCGGCAGTCTTTATGGGTCCTGATATGCATATGTTTGATGTGGGTTGTTCTGAACTTTTTTCTGTAACAACCTCCCTAGACGTAATTGGATTTTGAAAATCTGCAAAAATATCCAGAGAAATATCAAACAATTCTTTAAAAAGTAGATATAACTTTGAATTTGTAGATTATAGTTAGAATCCTTAGTCTTTGAAGAATCATTCTCTTGAAGATTGATTCATGAACTGATGTATTCAGAAGTCTGTTCAACTTCAATAACTCTGGAAGTTTTGACATAAACTCTGAAGGCTTTTGAGGCAAGTAAATATCCAACAAAGATGCCCTCAAAAGCTTTCTTGTCAAACTTTCCCAGATTAGTTCT